TAAATAATATATATATATATATAATAAACCTATGAGAAAATTTTATTTACTGAAAGCGGGATGAAAAATTATTTAAATGACTTTACGAAATAAGGGTTTGTTGTAGAAGAGTGAAATTTTGGGATGTATGTGTGTTTTAATTACGAATTGTAAAAAATTAAATTAAAGAAATATGTCCAAAAATTTTAAAAAAATCTTAAGGGTGGTCAACCACCCTTATTTAGGGGTATGAGAAGTAGTTGTTGTCCTATTCTCAATCATACTAAATGTGAATAAAAATTGGTCAAACTGGAGGAGAATTGCTGCTTATATGTATATATATATACATATATATTCTTAATAATATCATTATTATTATCTAAAAATTATGTATCAAAGGCAAATTTTGCTTGCATACATTCTTATGCCAAAGTGTTTTGCCAATGTGAAAAATAGTGAAAACACTAACTTTTTCTTTGACTATTCATTTATTTATACCATAAACGGCTGTATGAGACATCGTACCTGGCTTGTTTTTATGAAATTAGCATTTACAATTTTTTTGATCTTCTTCTGAAGTAGAATGAGTAGTTTTTAAAACTAAAACTTTATCTTATGCATAATGTGACATGCTTTTAGGTGTGTAATGCTGAATATGCAAATCCAATGGACTTTACATGGCATGTGGCAAAATGTTCAGGAGCAAACCGATCAATGAATGATAACGATAATGGCGCTTGGACTAGATCTAGAAGTAGGCAAAGCTCAACACCTGGTCCTTCAAGTATTATTAATGAGGTTGATGTTGATTACAATGATAATGTTTCTGTCATGGGCACTGAACAATCAACATCTCTGGTTAGTAATGTTTTTAACTTTATATTGAAACTTGTTGGAAATTAGTTATATTGAAAATTGCTGGAACTTTTCATACTATAATTTAGCATTCGAGAAATAAAAATCAATAATAAATAAATAAATTGATCAATGATTATAACAATTATTTTACATATTTGTTTTGAAACTTATTATTAGTACCATAAATTTATTGAATTAGACAATGAGCGAATTCTACTAACAATTTGTGTGTATCTTTACAAGGAATGAAAACATACATGAAATCTCATAAAAAAATTATGAGATAAAACTTTTTGAAAATTCCAAATTGCTTCAAAATTTTGATATTTTCAAATATTTTGAATATTTTAATATATTCTAAATTTTTGGAAAACAACTATTTGTTCAAAAATGCTGAACCTGCTGTCCCCAAAAACTAATTTTTCTTTGCACCGTCAACATAATCCAAATATTATTTTGAATCATTCTAATGAGATGATCGGTTAATCCATTATGTTTATGGAATAGGTTTAACTGCTCACTAATTATTATAATCTCATCCATATTATTACTCTTTTACTTTTTTTTGTGTTGATGAAGTCTTATCATGAACCATATTATTCAAATGTAATAATACTAATAAAATTTATTTCATTTAGGTAAGAGCAAATGAGCTGTCAGAAATCAGTAAACAAGAATTAGAAAAGTGGATTGAAGAATCAGCAAAGGTTCAAACTGGTAAGAAACAAAAAAGAAAAAATATTACAAGAAGAAGGAGAAGTTCTGCTAGGAGCCATAAACAATACAAAAGTGATGAATGCGATGATGAAGTGGCTAACCTCAATTTGTCCAGTGGTAAATATTTGCAATTGATTGCATTGTATTAATTATGTTTGCATGTTTATGAAGTTTTTTTTGGTTGACAAGAAAGTATAAGTTTAAGTATTTGTTTTTGAAATAATATTTCATAGTTTTTGATATAAATTATCACTAAACTATAAATTAAAATCATATATCATCCATAATATTTTTACATTTTATATAACTAACCGTGGATTTGAAATTACTACAAGTAATGCTCCTTCTTCATTCATTCAGAATGAAGAAAGAATTTATTCAGCGTACAGTCTTACAACAACGATGCACAGAAATCTAGTTTTTTTAACTCAAATTCATAATTAGTTTTAAATGTTTGAATGATTGATATTAACTTTTAGATAGTGCGCAATTCAATCAGTCAATCATATATATATATATATATATATATATATATATATATATATATATTATATAATTTGTGATTATCTGGACTACCGACTGCGACCAATTTCTATGTATGTACATACATACAATTCGAATTTTTGCATGATTGATGCTGCAGTTTAGTATATGTATGTAATGTAAGCTATATATGTACATACATAAGGAAGTTTTAATTTCTTAATAAACCTTATTTTTGTTGATATCTTTGTATGTATTTGTTATTTTTAATAAATACACAACATTATTCTTTATACATTCGATTATTTGGATTTTTGATTATACGTATGCCTATTGACAACAATTTGTCTGGTTATTCGAGGCTTTACTGTATATATATATATATATTTATATTAGGGCGGGTCGATTTGTATGGGTAAAAAGTCGCATAGACGCATTTTCGTATACTAGGGATCAAAATAAGATACTTTGCCAAAGAAGCCATATCTCCAAAATGAGCTCTGATGTTTTTTTAGTCGGTCATAAGCAAGCTGGACTAAACGACTTCTACTGTATATATATATCACCTTGATTACGCAAACTAATATCAGATTACATAACTAATAAATTTAATTTTATATAATTAATGTTGTAGCAAGCAGAACTACTCGATCATCAACGCCGTTTCCTGGCCGAAATTCATCAATGTCAGCTGCAGAAAGCTTTATATCGAATCGAGCAACTACACCTTATTCTCAAATATCAGGCAATAATATGGAGAACTGGGATAGGTTAACATCTGATTTTGAAGATTTTGATGAGGCTGGTTCTGTTGTTTCTGGATTTACTGCTGTTTCTGGGTTTACTGCTGGTTCTAGAAGTATTCATAAGATTTATATATTTTTTTGCTGTTTTAATAAAAATATTTTAGCACTTTTCTTTTTTTAGATTCCACTGATCTGGAAGCTAAATGCAATTTTAATTCTTCTGAATATTCATATGAAGGTAATAAAAGTAAAGAAACTATTTTGACTAACATATCAACTTTATCATCAAGACCACGTACCAGGAATGTTACTAGAGCTCTTAAACAGTTGGAACAAGATTTAAAATCTGAAAATTGTTGGAATTCCAATTGTAGCAGAACTACTGTAAGTCAAAGTCGAGCAGATTTTAGTCAGAGAAGAAATCACTTAAGTCATAGAAGAAATAGTTATGCAAAGAGAAGGAACAGTGTTAGTCGAATGGGTACACCAAACTCTTATAGTCAAATGAGTACCAGTCGCAGCACAAGCCGAAGTAGCAATAATTATAGAAAACTATATAGAAGATCATAAGGTCACAAAATGATGGTGAGTATGAAAGAATGCATTTAGTTTGAAATTGCAATATTTTATATAAATTATATTTTGCTTTGACACCCAAATGATGCACAAGGAATAAGAAATGCAATTAATGAATTAAATTTTGTAGGATTTAATGCCCTAATATATGAGTGTATGGAAATTAGCTGCTCTGGTAAATTTAATAACTTAGATGATCTCATGGAGCATGAAGAGAAAGAACACTTATTACTAAAACTGTTTTATTGTGAGGAATGCTCAATGAGATTTACTTGCAAGTATGTTTCAAGTTTCTTTATTAATATATAATTAAAATTAATTATACTAGACATACTTTATTTTAAATGAAATATTTATCTTTGCCCTTATCCATTCAAATTTGAGGGCTTTATATCTTATTGTTGACTATTTTTTTATATTGAACATTTTAATGAATATTGTTTTTGTTATTTTTCTGATACTCCGATTTCATTACCCTTTACAAATAGAAAAGTCAAAATTTGTTTATAATCAATTTATAATTTTTACTACAATAATTGATGATTAACAGTTGTCTGTAAAATATATGATTGTGATTTAGGTATTAATGTAATAAAAACATGTTTTTTTTTTTAGAAAATATTTAGATTGTCACTTGATGACTCACATTTCTAGTCCAGTTATGTGCATTTGTTGTGACAATAATATAGACTATGTTGATGATCAAAAAGCACATTTTGAGCTGCACTGCAGAATATCAACGCCTTGCAGAAGGGAAAATTGCTGGAAAAGGTTTATAGTACCACTAGATTTCATGAAGCGTAGAAATGATTTACATCAACGTCACATCACTAATGAAGAAGAGAAAGCTTTTGTCAGGCATTGCATGAAACAGAGAGCCGTGGAAGAAGGTTTAGAATATATGAATAATAAAATTGCAAAGCGTAAAGTAAGAAGAACATCTTCTGAATCAAGTGTTGACATGGAATGCTACAGAACATTCACACAACTTCTGAAGGATATGCACGATGCAGGAACACATTTGAATTTGACAAAGGTATGATTATGATTATATATAGCAATTATAAGTATCGTAATTAAAATTAACTATATATAGATATATAGTTAATTATATATATATATATATATATACATATATATATATATATATATATATATATATATATATATATATAGGATAGATAGATACCTTATTTAAATTCAATATTTACAATTAAAGTCAATACACCTTTTATTTTTATCTCAATATTATAATATAACTAAAAGAATATCAATGGTATTCATGAAAAATAAAGTGATATATATATACAGTGTACAACATACAGCGTAATGCAAAACAGCGCTAAATTGGTCAGATATTAAATTCAAAATGTATGTTTTTTTTTAAATAAAAATAAAAACTAATTATTTCTTAAAGCCCAAATCAATACCACATCATTTTTTGCAAAATAAAAACAAAATATAAATAACAACACAAAAATTTAATTCTATCTCGGACTGAAATTAAACTTGCCTCGGATGAGCTACATCTTGTTTATTTAATTCCTAAAAATATTTTATGTGCTGTTAATATGTATAAGTTAATCTAAGAATTTCAATCAATGATGACGTAGAATTTTACGTCGAAACGTAAGGAAAATATATATATATATATATATATATATATATATATATAATAGAGATGGGTTTATCATATCCGAAGCCGGATCAAATCGGATTTGACTCCGCTTCAGGGAGGAGTTATATCCGCTTAACAACTCCACGACTCCGACAACTTTGAAACATAATACTTGAAACAAATGTGTATATATAGTGCGTTGTTTATGCATCTAAGGATTTGTCAAATCCCATTTAATTTATTGAAATGAAAAATTATGAATAAAATAAAATTAAAAAATATCAATATAATAATTTTTCTAAAATATTCACAAATAAATGACGAGTTGTAAAATTTTTCACTCAATGACTCGAATTTTAACAGTGTTGACCAAAGTAAAAACGCAAAACTTTAATTAATATCAAAAACTTTAATTATTTTCTTTTGATGAGAATTTTATATAAAAATAATGTAGTAAACTTAGTAAACAATGACTCGAATTTTAACAGTGTTGACCAAAGTAAAAACGCAAAACTTCTTTTGATGAGAATTTTATATAAAAATAGTGTAGTAAAATTTGTAATAAAAGCAAAACATTTATTATAAAATATTTTCATCAGATAATAATACTTCTGCTTTCTAATTTTTCTTCTGCTATTTCCATTCGAGGAAATAGCAGAGGATTATTATATCGGGTAGTTTGATTAGCATATTATTACTTTTACACAAATATATAATTGTGTAAAAGCAAAAATTTAATACTATATATTTTTTGCTGCTTAAATACTATTGACGTCATTAAATTTAGATATATTTTGCACTCTAAAGTGTTGCTATGGAAAAAAACAGATTAAATGTATTTTGTTTCGTGTGTTTTTGGGTATGTATATTCCTGATTGCCGTCATTCACGGCCAAAGATTGTCGTAGTTAGAAATTTGACCCCTTACTATTCAATAAATTATATATTTGAGCTATTCACACTTGAACACAATTTCATTGTTCTGTATCTTTGAAGTAATATTTTTGTATTTTCTGAAAAAAAAAAACCTATACCTAAAAGGTCATAAAACTGCCTGTGCGACGAGAAAAAAAAACACTTCTTTTGACCCAAATCTTTGTATTAGTAAAAAATCTCAAGCAAATATCGGCACATGTTAACAGAGATAGTACCAGTTTAGGAAAGTCGGATATGACAAATCCGGTGAGACAACTCCACTCGGATTCACTCCGAGGAGGAGTTGTATCGGAGTGATAACTCCGGAGTGAGTTACCCATCTCTAATATACGAGGTCTGTTCAAAAAGTACCCGGAATTTTCGTTTTTTCAAAAAAATATTTATTTATTCGTCTACATTAATGTGGTCCCCTTCAAAGTAGTCCCCCCCAGATATAATATACTTATGCCAGCGTTTTTTCCAATTTTCGAAGCACCCTTGATATTCACTTTTTGATATGTCCTTGAGCACTCTCACGATTTTCTTCAATCGAGGAAAACCGCCGTCCTTTCATGGGTCTCTTCAACTTTGGGAATAGGAAAAAGTCACACGGAGCCATATCTGGTGAATTTTTGCACTTTGCAACACTTTATTTCATTTTTTACGCAAAATTTAATACAAATTCTTTGACTTTTCAATTCTTCCATTGTAAAAATCGCCGAGCTCAGAAAAACACGTCGAACCTTAGCCACTACCACAGACTACCACAGACAAAGTAAACAGTGAATATAGCTGAAAATTTCATCATACTTTAGGGGCATGTATACCAACACAATAAAAAAAAAATTTTGACAATCAGACACTCCAGACCCGCGAAATTTAATTATTAGTAATTCCGGGTACTTTTTGAACACACCTCGTATAATATGTAATATAATAATATAATAACATAAATAATCTTAATGGGTGTGAATTGTTGTATCTGATAAACAAAAATAATGTAATATTTAATATTAATTAATTGAAATTTCTGTGTTAGTTGATATTAATTGTCAATTATTTTGAAATGATTCGACGACTTGTATCTCTAAAATGTCTTATGACGTCGCTCGTAAGCCGGGGTGCCACTGTATATATATATATATAATATATATATATATATATATATATATATATATATATATATATATATATTTTCTATCCTAAACTCCGAAGAGTAAATACATAGTTTCGACAACTTGTCAAGATATCATGATTATTAGTGTGTTTTACCATTTGCGATGTTTGTGTTAAAAAATATATATCTTATCAATGTGCACATACTCATACCATGGATTAATAATGGTTTCATATGCTATATTAGGATACAAAATTTTAACTTGATTACCACTGAATGATGGCTAAGATGCTAGCCGAAACGTATGGATTTTAAATAAATAAATTTAAAAAAAAAACTCATACTATTTTTATTGATGTTACGCCCGAATATTAAACTCAAATTAAAGATATATATATATATATATATATATATATATATAATAAATGGTAGTCTGCCCGAAGACAGGTCCATGGTTCGAGAACCACCACAAATAAACGATTTGCTTACCTTTCATCCCATTACCACTATTCCCTCTTCCCTTTTGTTATTTCATGTATTTTCTTTTATAAACTTCTACTTCCATGTTTCTTGATTCTGTGCTTCGGCTTTCAGTTCTCCGTGTTTTCTCTTCTCGCGTAAGTCGTCAATCGTTTGCATTCTTCTTCTTTCCATTCTTTTTGTTCCTTCTATTTAGTCGTGCGGGAGGCACTCTTTTTGCAAAGTTTTCTTTTCTTCTCAGAATTGTGCTCAGTAGAGTCTTTTCTTTGCCCACTCTCCTCAGGACTTCTTTATCTTCTCCATTCGCCTCCAGCACCACATTTCAAAACTCTCGAGGTAATTCTTATTCGCCTTTCTTAGAGTCGATGTTTCCGATCCGTACGAAGCTATGCTCAAGACGCAGCACTTTATTAGTCTCTTCCGCAATTCGAGACTTAGTTTGCTCGTAAGTAGCATTCTCTTTTTTGTGAATGCCGCCTTGGCGCTTGCGATCCTTGTCCTGATCTTTTTCAGTATGCTTCCCAGGTATTTGAATGATCCACGTGTTCCAATTTTCGATTTTCTGTCGTTATTCTTTTTGTGATTCTCATCACTTTCAACCGGTCTATATTGTTCTCCATTCCGTATCTTCTATCCACTTCGACGATTCTGCTCATCATCTTTTGCAGTTTGGTTTGGTTTTTCGATATCACTACTAGATCATCAGCGTACTTTATGGTGGTAATTCTTCTACCACCAATCGAAAAATCTCCTGCGCCTTCAAGTGCCTCGTTCGGTGACATACAGCATCCTTGCTATTATTTTTTTATTTACTGTCGACGTTTCGGAACTATTTACATTCCATCTTTAGGACACGTGTCGAGAAACGTGATCTTGAAAAAAAACGAAACGTATGGATTTTTAATAAATTTCTAAAAACTCTCATAATATTCATATTGATGTAACGTTCTTTAAACTCAAATATATATATATATATATATATATATATATACGCTCTTTTTCACTTACTTAATGATGATGTTACAAGTAACAAACGTTTTTAGTTCATGTCAATTAACTAGATTATTATTAACTTCCGAAACAAGAAATGTTGTTTGGCGAGAGTGCCAGGTTCTGATGAACGTACTAAAATATCATAGAAATCAAATTAAATACGGATTAATCAGCGCTTATAGAATAATAATGCGTGTATGTATTAGGCATGTGCTTGTTTTTCAATAATATGTAATTAATAAATTCGTTCAAAATTGAATAATCTGCAATAGATTCTCTCAGATGTACTTATAAATGGCTCATAAATTAATATTTTGATATCTGATTGACTAAGTTGATAATTTAAAATATTGCTAGGTTAATTAATGGTAAAATGCCACTTCAACTGGTTTTATTATTTTTATTAGACAATACATTTTACAACTGTCTGAAACGTATAAGAAATACTTTTGTTATAAAAGTAAAGGTTGTAAAAAAGCCGACGGTCTTATCCCTTGATTAAAGATTAACATACTATGTACATGCTATTCAATGTAAATATATAAAATTAAGTAAATACCATTCAAACATTTTACAAATAAGTAGTTTGATAATAAATGGCCCAAGATCAATTGACCCAATTGTGAATTTTTTTCACAAATGTTGACACCACACAAGAGACAAACAGTATTTAATAGTATCAAGCATTCATATTTACATAATTAATATTTGTTCTGCTTGCAATATAATAATACAATAATTATGTATAAGTTATTATATCATTTGCAGTTAATGCAAAACTATTTTGTATTGGTATTTTGCCTTGAGGCAAGTTACATGAACTTCCCAATATGTGTAAGTAATCGATTTAATCAATAAAAAAAATAATAATCATTAAAAAATAGAGAAATAATAAATGAATTAATTAATTAATGAATAAAAGTATTCCGAGTGGACTTATTACACATAATTAAAAACGAACGAACACGATTTCTAAAAGCAAATTTTCAAAAATCAACTATTTTTATAATTGAACCAGTTTCCGTAGGACTATTGTTATACCAAGTACATCGTCTAACAAACGTACAAAAATACTCTTTTCTCAAACTTTGATGAATTTTAAATATTAAACTACTCGTCGTAAGGCCGTAACATTTTATTAAGTTCTATAAGACCATGATATATAATAGCGCCAAAAAAGTTCCATAAAAATTGGTTTATTTTTTTTTTCATCAGTTAATAACAAGAAAACGGTTTGGTAGATTTTTACCAAAAACTAATCAGTATCATATCCAACCAATATCTTTCGAAGAGTTTTTGATTTTTTAAAATCGATTCGGTAGTATGAGTTTAAATGTGGACGAAAAGTTTAACGCTTTTGTTCAAATTACAAAGAAACGGCTTGGCAGATCGACGCACAAAACTGGCAAACGATAGTCCTCATTAAGATACATTAAATGGCTTTTAAATTTCTGAAATCTGTTCGGGCGTTTTTGAACAAACGTCGATGAAAAGTCTAATTTTGACAAATGCCAAAAAACGAAGGTAATTTTTGTAAATTTTGTCGATTACGGCAAAAAAGCTGTTTACATACACACACACAGCATTTCCAAATTTGATGTCATTCGATTCAGAATGGCTTGAAACGTCGAGAAAACATAAAATTAGCGAATCGAATTTTTTCATGAAAACATAAACTTCTTCTTCGGTAAGTTAATGATTAATAATAAAAATTAATTACTTTTTATATTTTTATAGACACTACGTTCTGATTATTATCCAGATGTCACAAATAAAACTATGACAATGCCAATATCTTCTCAAGAATTAACCGGAGATAACACTCAAGGCAGTATAAATGATCTAGGACTAGGTGGAGTTTGTGATACTATCATGAACGGTGATTTGGATGTTTATCATTTAAAAGTCATACCAACGCCTAGTGAGGCATCAGGGAATGAAGTCTCGAGTTCAGCTGGTGAACCAACGGAATCAGAAGTGGACCAAATGTCTTCAATAACTTCACCACATAGGAGGAAAAAAAGAAAAATTAAAATCAATTTATCAGCTAAAAGGAGTCGTAGTAAACATGTGGTTCATTTAGAATATCATGAAAGAGACTTATCACATTTTAGATTACCTAGCTATTCAGATATAAAAAGTTCTGATTCGGAAATAAATGACAATTTAACAAATGATGATCAAGCTAAGCCCTGGAGAATTTGTTTGTAAGTACTGCTCTCTTTTGTGTAATTAATATTATGTGTGTAATTTTATTAACTTGTTTGTTTGGTTAGATTTGTGAGGGAATTTTGGTATTACATAATATACTAAACAACAATACTAGTTCACTGCATATAAAATTTTAATTTAAATTTACTTAATTTTTATATATTGAAGGGTTATGCTTTATATGATATTATTTATATCAGACACAAATCATTTTAGGCGTTTTTTTTTTCAATTAAATTGGCCATCTTCATATTTTTTTTATCTTAAGTTTTGTCAATCAGTTTCATATTTTAGACAATGTTAGTCGTTTTAACTTATAATAGGTTTTTATACTTGCATTTACATGAATCTAAATAACTATAAACTAATTGATAGCATAAATTGTATATTCGTGGTGAGTATACAATTTTAAATTGATTCAGAAGGTAATTGGGAATTATATTGAAATGATGCAATTATTATTTAAATTATTTAGGTAAATTTTTCCTTTTTATAAGATTTTACTTTTCTACTACATATATCAACTGTGGAGTTGATGGGCTTAGATCTGTGATAATTAGTAGTACTATGAGAGTTGAAAAAAATATTTCAATTGCTATATATAGCGATTGGCAATATGACTTCTTTCTTATAACATGCTCATTTACCACTGTTGATTGTATTCAATTATAGTCTTATGGAATTAAGAAATTTTATTAGTAATGATAATTTAAGTACATTTGTTTTAAATTTATTTTAAGTTTCAATAAATTATTATATTGTCGCTTTAGTTCTATTTTATAAGTGTTTTATTATTTAACATTGAATTAGATTATTTGCTAAATGTTTTGAAATTACAAAATTCTAACTTGATGAGATAAGATTATAGAATAAACGAAATTTATATTTTAAGAAATTACTTTAAATTATAATTTTTTAAATAAATATTAATGTAGTAATTAATGTATATGTTTGTGTTTGAGCTTTAATTACTTGAAATTATTAATAAATATCAGAACTTTACGATGATTCAAATTTGTCAACAGTACTTTGATTTATGCTTTAAAATTTTAGTTTTCATTAACAGTTCTAGACCTAGACCTATTTCTTGTATGACCTTTGTATGAGATACTTCAACTCAATAACTAAAGTTTACTTTTACAGCCAAATTTGAACCTTTTTTGAAAATGTTTTAATAATCAAAATATGTACTTTGGTTGAAGGGTATATTTAGCAACTGGAGTAAAATTATGTGGTAGTAGAAAAATGTGTAAATTAATTAATGAGTTTAATCTGTTTTGTTTGAAAATTATCAATTTTGAATTATGTTAAGGTGGGCCACACCTAATGAACGAACACGAACGAACATGAATGTACGTACCAGAACGAACGGCAACAGCATAATGTGGACGCCACAACGATCACGAACAAACATGGCGAGCAATGTTCCGCAACTTGTCGGTTTATCAAAGTGAATTGTTCGTTCATGTTGGTACTCGTATTTGCAGTGTGGACGTCTCAACGAACGCAAACAAACATTTTTGTTTTAATCTTCACTTGTGATTGTTGTGTACAGTTTGAAAATTTTGAATAAATTATGGAATTATCAAATGACGTAATTTTATCATTCATAAATGAAATAGAAAAGTTTCCTATATTATGGGATACTAAAGACCCTTTTTATAAAATTATTAGAAAAAAACATGCTTGGGAAAGTGTAGGCAAAACGTTTGGGACGTCAGAAGCTGCAGTAAAGAAGAAATGGCAGTCTTTACAAGTAAATATTAAACTGTACCGGCTTGTACTTTTAAATAAAGATGTTATCCACCAACGTCGCTTTCTTGCTTGTTTCATATTTTTTAGCAATGAATTTAATATAAAAAAAGCACTTCCTACGATAACATTATACTTTCTCAAGTCTGTTTGTACATGTCTATCACTTTTTTCACCTTCCCTCACTTGAAAACTGACATTCAAGCCCTCACTGCTTTTAAGCGCTTGTTCAAGTTCGTTTGGAATTTTTCGCGTTCGTTCGTGTTCCTGTTCGTTCTTCTTTGTATTTTCTTGTTCGACATGTTAGTTCGTGTTCGTTCGTTGGGTGTGGCCCATCTTTATACTTATGTATTTTAAGTTGAAGCACAATTATATATATATATATATATATATATATATATATATATTTGTATATTTGAATAGTCTTCAATTTGATGTTGATGTAATACATTTTATTTGATTTTAAAAGTCGGACGTTACATCAATAAACATTGTAGTGGTTCCTAAGTAGCGTGTCAAAATTTCTTAAAAAATGACAAGATTCCATCTCTTTTTGAATTTCTTGTGAAATTTTAACATATGTGAAGAACTGCTTCAAGAAAACGTGACATTTCTATCTTACAATTAGACTCCGAATAGTCAATATATAGTTTCAACAACTTATTAAAAGTTATTCATGCTAATTTGTGTGTTTTGTGGTGTTAACAAATATGCCATGGAGTAATAATGTTTTCATCTGTTATATTAGGATAAAAAATTGTAAGTGTTTTTTATTATTATTATTGTTTTTCTATGAAATTTCTTACATATTATTCATTTTGTTTTAATTTTCATAGTTATATTGATTGCCACTGAAGCTAAGATACTAGCCGAAATGTACGGATTTTAAATACATTTCTACAAACTCTCATACTATTTTTATTGATGGTACGCCCGACTTTTAAACTCAAATAATTTATATATATATATATATATATATATATATATATATATATATAACAATTTGTGGAATGATTTTATGCACACAAGTGCATAGAAGTATGTTTTTATTAATGTTTTATATACTTCCAATACTTTTCTTTTATTGAAAATAGAAGTTAATCAATCAAAGTCAAAAGATGCATGATTTTTATGCTACCTTTGCCATATGATTATGCATTAGGTTAATCTCATCAATAAGATTATGTACAAATGTTGAATAGAATAAATATTTAATATTGAATTAATATTAAATTAATTAATATTCCCTTTATATATATATATATATATAAATAAAGATAAATTGTGTGCACTTTTCGTTTTTGTGATCCGATGGACTATAGGTTGTCTATGTCAGTCTCCTTACAAACTCGTCTACTCGAAAATTAAGAAATTCCAAACTATTTTGAGAAAGACTTTTTGTCCTTTTTACAGATTTAATAAACATGCTGTCTTACATACAAATGATGTGTTAAATTAATAAATTGCTTGGGAATTCGAACTCAAAACCCAACATAATAACCATTTTTACAATTTTCTCGTTTTTTCATGAAAATTTTTAACAAACACATTTTGCAAATGCATCGATCGACGATCATAAGTATATGTGAAGTCAAGTGAAACATAAAGTCAAAACTTGGACTGCTATTTTTATGATCATTAGACATATCTCAATATTGCGTCTCTATGCAGCTAAGGCAGTGCGATTGCTTTAAAAAAAAATTCAAATTTCAAAATTATACACCATATTTCAAAATTATTCCAAACTAAAAAAAACATTTTTTTCCCAAAGTTTGTTTTTCCAAAAAAGTAATTTTATTTTCCAAAATTTAAAATTTCTCAAAATCTAATTTCTTCAAAATTTAAAACATATTTAATTTTTTTTTTAATTTAATTTTCGTATGGTAAGTTCCAGCAATTTGCCTTAATGCACGACGCCATACACCACTAGTTTGTTTTAATTTCAGTTTCAAAATCTAGGACTATTGTCCATGATTTTTTCTAAAACCAACTCGACGTGCACGCCGATGACTTCGACGAGAAGGCAAAGGCTAAAATAGCGATTGCAGAAGGGTACCCAAAGTCCTCAGCAACGAATAAAGGACTCAAGTTGGGCTCCTCGGAGGACGACGACGTTTATGGGCCCCATTCCATCGAGCAAATGCAGGAGTGGGTCAGTAACGGATATTTCAAGATGATCATCTGGGTCAGAAAGGTCGGCAGCTAGGGAGAGTTTCATACTTCGAATAAGATCGATTCGAATTTTTATATTAGATTGTGAAAAATTAATATAATAATTAGTAATTATTTAAAAATGTTTGTAATAAATAAGAAATATTAATAGAGTTACAGAAGTTTAGTTTGTTAAAAAATTAATATAACAATTAGTAGCTATTTAAAAAAAATCCTAAAATTTTTTCCCCAATTTTTTTTCCACAATTTTTCCCTAATTTTTTTCTTCCAAAAATTTTCTTTTCCTCAATTTTTTTCCAATTTTTTTTCCCCAATTTTTTTTCCAGTTTTTCCGCAATTTTTTTTCCAAAATTTTTTTCCCAAAAAGTCAAAAACTCAACTAGTCCATGGTTTTCCCCAAATTTTGTTCCCCAAAAACTCTATGGTTTTTTTCCAAAAAATTTTTCCCCATTTTTTTCTGATTTTGTGCTGAACCCAATGACATGGTCGCGATCATTTTTATATAAATCTCAATGGCGACGTGGTATATGAAATAGTTCAATATAAGTAGTACAAATAGAAAAGATGAACCTGATTAATTTGAATAAATTAAATGAGGCCTAAAAAAATATAAAATGAAAAAATGAAGCGCGCAAGGCACGCACGTACTTGCGGGCCGGGACTACGACTATAATTAAAGAAACCTTATGCCAAATCAAACGCTCAATTTGAAGCACAATACCGCCATCTGTGATATGCTAAACACATCAATTTTTTGTGACCAAAATATTTTGACCAAAAATTTTTTTTTCAAAAATTTTTTTGTCCGAAATTTTTTGTTGGTGTTTCTTATATATAAATACTAGTCATTCTGCCAGTTATTATTAAACATAACGAGATGGCCCGTTTTGTGCAAATGAGCTTGAAAATGATCAATTGCTTCTGCCAGAACTCCCGTTCGCAACCATGCGTCGAGATCTATTGGAGCAGAATCTGATTGGGTCGTCTCGTCTGGACTTTTTTTGGATCCGACTTTGGTCGACCGGGTGACTAGTCGATTAACGATCGCGACAGATTTCAAAGTCTTCGACGATCTC